ATACAATTGAGATGTTCAATATCTTTTATTTCAATGCAGTCAAATCGCTCTGATGAGCAAATCGCTTTCGAGCAATTAAATACCTAAGGATAACTTAAAGAAAACTGCTGAATAAATAAAATAAAGTGTTCCTGCATGCATGTATCGATATGATTGACAATACCTGAATAGAATACTGCAGAATATGAATTCTAAGATGTGAATTGAAAGTATGTGAACACCGCATTGGGGCAAACATGTTCCAATGCCGCAAACATTTCGATGCTATCAATTGTTAGCCTTTACAAAAATATAGCTTTATTCACCATAATCCTTCATTTATTAACCTGAACTAATTGTAATTGACTGACAGTTAGTGAATCAATCTGATATTTTCAAAAATTAGTATATCGAATGTAAAGACATATTTTAAGAAGCAACAGTTGAGCGGTAGCTAACTTGCTGTTGATTTTAATTCCTTGGAACGGTGAGGTTCCTTCGCTATGAGGATCGTTGTATCGTATGATATGATCGATGTAATATTGCGTAATCGGCCATGACTCAAAAGGCTTAAGGTTTGAATTTCATCACAAATGTGACGCTGCTGACAGCAAGATAGCGTCAGCTTGATATCTCACGCAGTTGTGCCGCACATTGTTACTGCACGGTTTTAGCACACGCTATCACCTTATCATACTAAGTTCGTCATCTTATCAGCACTGCGATCAATATTGTCTATCAACTCTGTCTTCCTGACATCATGCGAATACGTGCATTATAATGAGTGATCTTTTCGAACTTCATTTAAGACCGTCACACATAAGTTTGAAAAGATTTACCATGATTCACATTGCCTTTACGTCACGTCTAATTTCGAAAGCTTATTTTAATTTCTTGTTTATATGACTTTATTTTCAGAAAATTAGTGTATCGAATGTAAACACATATTTTAGGATGCAAAAGTTAGGCGGTAGCTAACTTGCTGTTGATTTTAACCCCTTGGAACGGTGATGTTCCTTTGCTATGAGCATCGTTGTAATCAGTGCTCTTTTCGAACTTCATTTGAGACTGTCACATATAGGTTTGAATAGATTTAACATGATTCATATTGCCTTTACGTCACGTCTAATTTCGAAAGCTTATTTTAATTTCCTGTTTAAATGACTGCGTTTTGCATTCCTTTTAAATGGACCCTACAGTGAGTTTGCGTTTAACAAACCCGCGACACTCCGCACCTTTTGAATTGTTACTGTCAATGCAATCTGGATTTCCAGTTTGAATCAAATCATGCTTTCAAATCCGCTAAGGAGAGATAAAGACGTATTTTTTCGATCTATTCCACTTGAAAGTCGTACAAAATGTTGAAAATATGCTACATTCGTTTCGATTTGTTCATTGCATCGCACGATATTACGTTGATATGTGTGCTTGACTAAATTAACCCTTTGCATTACAATTTCAGTCAATTGCACTTGAAGGTTTGCTGACTTCATTAGCGAAAATGGTTGAGGAGGAATTCAAATTGGTAAGTTTATTCATTTCATATTGTCTTTATTTATCTGTTTGATACTTTTTGTTATTGACCATATCCAATAAATGTCAGTTTGTTTTCAGGAGCAGAAGATTGCTTTTCGGTTTCTGTTCGTATTGTGATTGCACTAAATAGATTCTCTTTTACAGATTAAAGTGAGAGGAGATGAATCCAGTGGTTTAATCGAGTACCCGACACGGGGCAAAGTTGATGGCGGGGCCGGTCAGCCCGGTGGTGGTAATGACGATAATGAAGGTGATGGAGAAGGTGCGATTTTTTGTTCTACGGTTGTTGTTTTTTTTTTGAAAGATATCGCAATCTAATTATAGCATGCATTTGTTATCTTGAATCGAAGTAATAAGTGAGAAGTGATAAAGATTCGAGTANTGAGCAGACATTTGCTTAAGAAAGCAAATCTGTGACAGTCTCTGACTGACTGCACTCAGCATTTCACATGAAATCGGATGTATGTACGAGAGGAACCACCAAATAATTTCATTGACTTGATTTTGCAGCCTTCAAACGATCTGTGGAAGTGATACAGATTCAGATCTTCTCGGATCAGATTTTAAACAATCTGCTGAGTCTCTTTTCAGGATCAAATGTTACTCCAGATAAGCTCAGATTCAAGGTGGCGGATGTGGTCACCATCCTCACGGGCCAATCAGCGCATCACTTCTCTAGTGTAGATCCGGTAACTGGCCATATCATTGGTGCAATCGCCGGAAATGAGTTATTCAATCTTGGTTTGTTCTTTGTTTGAATTGTTGTTGTTCGTCTTTTCATTTGTTCTGGTCAGCAGTATTGAAACAATTGCAATAGAGAACTTCCAAATCTTAACCTGAGAGCTCTCGACATTTTCAGGTGGTAAAGACAATAAGTTAGGTATCGTCGGGAAAGTGGTTCTGGACAATATTATAAGTGAAAAGTTCAAGAGAAAGGTAAATTAGGAAATAATTTTTGAATCTTTATATCATAAATAATTATTGACCTATTTAGTTGGATCCTAATTCGCTCAAAGTTATTTGTAACAATTTTGTTTCTTATGTACAGCACAATCATTTTTTATTTGCACGTCATAATTCACATGATTAGTCGCTTGTATGATTAGTATGATTAGTCGCTTGTATGATTATCAATGTATGATTAGTCGCTTTGTAGTGTTAATGCAAGCCTCTTTGAGACTGAATAGCTTGTGTATGATGTGAGGCAGTTTTTCGCCAATGGAAATTAACTGTGACATGACAAGACCGTTATTTAGAATTGTAGATCATGAAATTTGAAGAATTGGTCTTGAGAAATTCATTCATTTTATTAACACTCGTAAGAGAAGCGTTATTTCGATAATTTTTATGAGCAAATTTGATTCCCCAAAACGCTCGTTCCGTTTATCAGCCTCGAAGCGAACTGAATAAATTAACCTTTGAAAAATTATGGTCTTATTTCCTCTGTTATGCCACTGTTTGCTTAGTACCACGAGATATCATTTGAATACTTGAAAACTTCGAATGTTATAGATTGTAACATGGTCCACAGGCAGTGAACCGTATGCTAAATATATTAAAGATACATCAGGTATTGCCTCAGGCCGTGCTTTGATATCGTCACCTTTCGATTATCATGTAAATTTTTTCATTGTTTTTTAACCGATGCAATTTTCACCGAACTTAATACTCCCAACGAGCGATTTTCTAATATCTAACTGCATGAATGACATTATGCACGATTGACTGTGTCTAAAATTTAGAATTCCTAATGAAATAGTGTCTGTTCAGAGTGTTGTGCATTATGATCGCTAAACTGATACAAGATACTTTCATTATACATGTTATGCTTATATTGCCGGTTAACAAAAGTTGAGATATGCAATAAAATAATCGAATTATTTAAGTGATCGAGGATAACAATGAGTGCTTTCATTTGCCTACTATAATGTTCAACTTTTTTACCTCACACAGCATAGAATTTTAAAATTCAGTTTTAGACT